GAATCACCAACAGACTGGTGATGGGCCTCTTGGTACCTAGGTAGGTTGGTCTCAGCAAGCAGACCCAGATGGTTGCTAGGACCGTACCTGAGGCCTTTTCAGCATAGCAGAGCCTGCCTGGTCTTGTACTCTGGTCTGTCATAGCTTTGGAGAAGCTGGGGAGACCTCTAAACAGGGCTTTCTGGAGGACTTCTGCCATCTTGGGCTGTCTCAAGGAAAGTAGAATGTCCAGACCTAGGGAGGGGCTCACCCATCCCCACATGCTCTATCCTGGCCAGACCCTCTGTGCAGTACGGTGTAGGGTCAAACTTTAGGAAGGATGTCACTAAGCTGGCTTGAGCCCACAGGAGGAGGATGGGAAAGGGCTTTGAGTTCATGCCATATAAAGACTGATTTACCATGGCTCGGTAACGGACAGGCTAGATGTCTCCAAGTAGCATATGGGGGGTTGGATTTCTTCTGTTTCTCTTTAAGCAGATGGATGACTACTTGTCGAATAATAATAGTAATATTAATAATGATGATGATGATAATGATGATGGCTAGCATTTATATAGCACTTTGAAATTTGCAAAGCATGTCACAGATATCTTATTTTATCTTCACGACAACCCTGGGAGGTAGGCAGTCTTATGATCCTCATTTTACAGATGAGGAAACTGAGGCAGACAGCATTTAAGTGACTTGCCCAAGATCACACCAAATAAGTATCTGAGGCCGGATTTGAATTTGTGTCTCCCTGACTCCAAGTTCAGCATTCTATCCACTTACCCTGGCTCTCCCGGGATGTTATAGCAAGGATTCTTTTCAGGAATGGGTCAGAGTAGGTAGCCATCAAGGTCACTTCCTTCTGTGATTCCGCTTGGCCCCCAAAGGAAGAAAAGAACAAAGAGGCAAATCTAGGTTCTGCATAAGAAAAAACTTCATTATGATCGGTGCCACCATGTAGAATGGGCTGCGTTGGGAGGACCTGGCTTCCCCCTCATGGTAGGGCTTCAGGCAAAGGCTGGTTTTGTTATGCAGGAGATTTGTTTTCAGGCACAGCATAGACTAACAGGTCTGTGAGGTCCAACCATGAGATTCTGGGATTGCCATTGGGTCCAGTCATTGAGCCTGGATGCACCATGTTCTAGTACATTACTCTCCATTTTATCTTCAATGAGACCCTGAGAGTCTTAGCCAAATGGTTTTGCTAAATGTTGGGTATATGACATCGACCGCATGCCCCTGACTAATAACCCTGTCGGAACAGGAAACAAGGCTGTTCTGGCATGATCTGCTGCTCTCAAGGAAGCCCTGGCTGACTTTTTGTGGTCACCACTCACTTCTCCAGTTGGTCACTAACCATCCATTTAATAATAGGTTCTGAAATTTCACCAGGATTTGAAGTTGAGTTTTCTGGTCTATGGTTTGTAGATTACACTCTCCTTTCCAATGGAAAACCAGGCTAACATTTGACCTTCTCCAGTCTGGGACCATCTCCCCCATTCTCCATGACCTTTCAGACATCACTGAGAGTAGCTCTGAAATCACATCTATCCCTTCTTCCAGGACTCTTCACTGTCATTCCTCTGGCCTGGTGGCTCGAGTCATTAAGGGCAGCTAGCACTTTTATCGTAGACTTTCCTGCTAGCCATTTTTGCTAATCCAAAGATAATTTTCCTTGGCAAAAAAAAAAAACAAAAAACAGAAAAAGCTTCAGCAGAGCAGCTCTGTCTTCTGTTCAGAGTTAGCATCCTGCTCATCTCATTACTACATCCAAGAGCTTGTCCTGTCTTTCATCTTTCTCTTTTCCACAATCTGACCAACAAAGACCCAGACCTTGGTCATTGTCCTTAGCATCCCCTGCCAGCCTCAGCCCATTCTGATCTCTGACACCCAGACACTATTCTTATAGGACTGGACTACACTTGGAGATGCAGACTCTGTCTCTTGCCCTTGCCTATATAAGTTCTATCTTAAAAAAATGATGATATCTTTTTAAAACCTAAGTTGGTTGGGGAGTTCTTTTTGTATCCACATTGGTCTCATCAGACAACTTCCTCATTCCCTTGTTTTTGTGTCTATAAGCATTCCCATCCTTCTTGGACTCCTTTGCTCCATGTCTACTAACTGGGAGTCCCCCAAGTTTCTGTCCTGCACCCTCTTCCCTTTTGCCTCTGCCTTCAGTGACCTCGTCAGTGCCTATGCATTCAGTTATCATCTCCATGCAGATGACTCCCAGATAACCCACTCACACAAGACAATTCAGCAAAACCATCTGACAAGCTATGTTGCATTCCACAGCCGCAGTCCCTTGCCTCTCCAGGCCATGTGGTTTAGATCTAGAAGAAATAACAGAGATCTCTTAGTCCAACTTGCTCAGTTGTTAAAAAGGGATAAAAGGAGAAGAACCAGGAGTAGGATTTGCACCAAGGAGGGATATCTGAGACCATCTGGTTACCCAGATGCCAGAGCTTGGCTGTACTTTATTCTTGTAATGGGACTGAATCTCATGTATAGAGTTACTCTCTCTCTGTCTTTCTTTGTATGTCTATTTCTCTTTCTTTCCAGTCTTTCCCTATGTATTGATTTCTTTCCTATTGTCTAGAAACACACCTGTCCCCAGTCCATGAAAAACCTCCCAAGATGCTAGCAATGCCCCTGCTTCTCTCCTCCCCTCAGCTAAACTCCCATCCTGTTTTCATATTTGAGTCTGCAGAACTTGGCAAATGCTAAGCAGTTAATACTAATTCATTCATTCTTGAAAAGCTGTCGTCACCCTCCATTGCATCCACTTCCTCTTCTAACCCCTCTGGAAAGCTCGCTGCCTCATCATCTGACTGAAGCTTCCTTCTGCAGAGTGCCCAGTCCTTCACTGCCCAATCCCATGGGCTTTTCCCAGGCCTCATCCTTCCTCAAGTCTTCACAGCATCCCACCCTGCTGAGTCTCCTCTCCTCCTCTGCGTCTGCTCTGTGACCTCGTGGCATGGCTCTCTCCTTCTACCTCTCTGACCACTGCTTCTTAGTCTTTTTGGCTGGCTCTTCATCCAGGCCATGCCCATTAACTCTGGGTGTCCCCAAAGGCTCTCCCGGACCCTCTCAGCGATCTCATCAGCTCCCCTGGCTTCAGGGACCATTTCCATGAAGACGACTCTCAGATCCATGGCTCTCTCCTGGCCCCCAGTACCATGTCACAAAGTACTGATTGGATGTTTCAAATTGGATGTCCCATAAAACCGAACTCATTATCTCTCTCCTCAAGCCCTTCCCTCTTCCTAACTTCAGTCAATTAATCAATAAACATGTACTAAGCGCCTGTTTTGTGCTAAGTGCTAGGGACACAAAAAGAGGCAAAAGACAGTCCCTGCCCTCAAGGAGCTTATAGTCTAACGGGAAGATGACATGAAAACAATATATACAAACCAAGCTGTTTACAGGATAAATAGCAAATAATTAACAGAGGGAAGGCACTGTAATTAAAAAGGGTTGGGAAAGCTTCCAGTAAAAGAAGGGATTTTAGTTGGGATTTAAAGGAAGCTGTTACTGATGAGGGCACCACCATCCTCCAAGTCACCCAGGCTCCCAACCTAGGAGTCATCCTGGATTCCTCACAGCTTTACTCCTGCCCTACCCCCCCCATGTCCAATCTATCGCCAAGGCCTGTTGATTTTACCTTTGTAATCTCTCTCCTCTATGCCCCCTTGTTTCCTCTGATACTGCCCCCACCTTGGTGCAGACCCCTATCCCCTCACACCTGGACTATTATAGTTGCCCCGGTGGGTCTGCCTCCTGCAGTCTCTCCCCACTCCAGTCCATCCTCCACTCGGCTGTTAAAGCTTTTCCTAAAGTGATGGAGGGACCACGTTACCCTCTTAACACTCTCTAAGAGTGATCATGAATTATCTAAGCTCATACAGAGTGTTGGTGACAGACCAGGGACCAGAAGCCAGGCTGGCAAACTCCCAATCCAAACTTCTTGGCTTAATACCACTCGCTGTCTAGGTCCTTTCCAGATCTAAAAGTCTGTGGCACCAGTGAAGAGCCAGAAAGCCCCATCCCAACCCTCTGTGTGCCCAGGCCTATATGGGTGCCATGGAGAATACAGAGAAGGGCCACAGCTCTGCCAGCCAGTGCCAGGCTAGTTGTGGAGATGAAACTCTTGTCTAAGAAACAACTAGGGGATGACGTATTCTCATTCGGGCAAATGGGAACCCAGGTCAGAGCTTTCTTTAGTTGAATAAATTGTAAAGTTCTGGTGTTTCTTGGGGCAGAGCAAGAGGAGACAGAGAGGGGAGTCCAGAGAGGGAAGGGACCTCATTACACCCATCTCTTGTATTCTATAGAGGAAGAAAATGAGGCTTGTAAGGAAAGGGACTTCCCTAAGGTCACCCAGCTGCTTAGTAGAAGAGCCAGGACTAGAGCCCTCCCTTTCCCACTCCTCACTTTCCTGGAGTTCCTGAAGGAGGAGGGACTCCAAAGTCAGCCAGACAGAAAGAAGTGCCCGACGCTGGGCTCAGTAGGATTTATGTAGGAGGGGAGGAAGGGCTCATTCCCCAACAGCTTCTCCTAGATGGATGCAGATCCTTAGTAAAGAGCTTTGTTAGCTTTGGGTTACGACAGGAATGTTTAGGTCAGTTTGGTGCAGAGCAGAGAGAGTACTAGACTTGGAAGACCTGAGTTTGAATCTTACCTTAGATACTTATTAGCTGTGTCACTATGGGCAAATCACTTAGCCTCTCTGGGCCTCAGTTTCCCCATCTGTAAAATGAAGGTGTTGGAGTCCATGACATCTACCATCCCTTCTGGCTCCATATTTATGATATCTTCCCTACAAAGCTGTGTGCTGGTGGACAAGTCATTTTTCTCTCAGAGACTCAGGCGTTGAGAACAGTGATACTTATATTACGTGACTCTGTAAAAAGGCTACGGACATATGAAAGTATTATTAGACTCCAGCTCCATCCCCCTCTTTCCTCCAGATTCCGCTAACATCCTCTCATTTTGCTCCCCTTTCTTAGTAGCTGGTCATCTACCTCAGTCCCCACCTATGAGATGGCCATGACGTGCAGCCCTCCTGTCCCAGAAGAGGAGGAAGAGGATGGACCACCCCCATACGGGAGGGCCAATGGCGGGAGACCAGTAGGACTGACCCGAAGCATATCTGATGGGGCACTGCTTTTTCCTCCCCAGCCAGAGATGTGGGGAGACCGAGGCACAGCCTGGGTCAGCCCCCCACCCAGCTATGAGAGCATTGATGCCCGTGGCCTGTGACTGACATTCCAGCCTGAACCGACAGCTCTCTTTAGGTGCTCTATCGCGGTAGCCAGCCAGGTGGAGGCTGACTAGGAACCCAAATGGAGGAGCTCAAGCCCAGACTGGCTTCTGTCGCTCTCCAGAGACAATCTTTAACGAAGGCTAATGGGAGTCAGGAGGACCTTATGCTTGGGTCCAGTAAGACTCGGGTTTGGATCCTCGATGGGCCCCTGACCGGGTGTGTGACCTTGGTCAGATGCTTCCACCTCTCTTGTTTTTTCCACATCTGAAAAATGGGGCTCCTAATCCTTGTCCTATAGACCTCTAATGGATATTAGGAGCATCAGATGAGATAATGGATCTGAAAATAATGTCATGAGCTAGAATACAATAGAGATTGGTTTTTATTGGTGCCCAGATACTGGGGTGGCCTTACATAAAAGCAGCTACCCTGGCAGGGTAGATTTCAGAGTCTCTATGACCCTATTTCCCTACTATGTCTCCTTACTCTCCCCCCACCAACCCCCAGGAGACAAAACAGGTAGAAGAAGAAGACCTGGGACAGGTCACGTCTCTCAGCCTCAGTTTTCTCATCTGTAAATTGAGGAGAATCATCTCTGTCCTCCCTACCTCACTAGGCTGTTGTGAACGTCAAACCAGCGAGCTGGAGCTGTTTTCAGGTACTAGAACCTTAGTGTGAATGGAAGCTGAGCTAGAGGAGGTGGGGCCGGGGCACCGTCACTGACCTGGGATGGACAGACCCAGCTAGCAAACCCCTCACCAGGGAAAGCCTGAATAGAGCAGGCTTCTTGGCCTGGGAAGGAAGGGGGAGCACAAGAAGGGCGCAGGACAATGAGGTTGGCCCACAAGTCAACCCACAACAAACCATCAGATTTTATCTGAGTAACTCCTTTCTCCATGGCCTGGAGTATAAGGTGTGTCTGAGGGGATGGAGAAGGACATGGTTCTCTCCATCATGGAGCTAACAGTTTGATAGAGTCAGCAAAGGAGTATCAGTATGGAAGAGCTTTCAGTATGGAATTTTTTTTTTTCAGAATCAGTATGGAAGGGCCTTAGAATACAGAATGTAGTAGCTGAGAGGGGCCTGGCAATAGGGAATGTCAGGGCTGGGAGGGGCCTTAGAACAGGGAATGTCAGAGCTGGGTGGGGCCTTAGAACAGGGAAGGTCAGAGCTGGGAGGGTTCTTAGAACATGGAATGTCAGAGTTGGCAGGGGCCTAGAAAGTAAGTGCTATATTGAGGGCATTCCACTAGTGAGTAGCCCAATTCCTTTGACTCTTATGCTCTATCGATTTTTTTTCCTTTTACTGGTGAATCCCCTGGTCCTTATAATAGGGACTCTAGCTGAGAGTAAGGACTGTTTTCCCTCCATGTATCCTCAGCACTGAGCACATGAATAGTTGCTTAATAAATGCCTCTTGAACTGAAATTAGGTAAGGACCACTGATTTCTTATGCTGAAAAAGAAGACACGTGACCCACCGCCCTGATGGGACTTGGCATTTCCCAGATTGCAACACCCATCTGCATGTGGCATTGGGGAAGAACCCTGAACCATGGCTCTGGAAATCTGGAACCTAACCTTACTCCTGCCACCTACTTGCTTTGTGGTTTTCAGCAAGTTGGGCCTCAGTTTCCCTATTTGTGAAAGGAGGATATTTTACCAAATTAGGTCAAAGGTTCTGACGTTCCGTGTTCTAATATCCCTTCTAGTTCTGACACCTTGTTACTGTTCAGTCATTTCAGTCACACCCAACTCTCCGTGACCCTGTTGGGGATAGTGGAATGGTTTGCCATTTCCTTCTCCAGCTCATTTTACAGATGAGGAAACTGAGGCAAACACAGCAAAGTGACTTGCCTAGGGTCACACAGCTGGTAAGTGTCTGAGGCTGGATTTGAATTCAGGAAGAGGAGTCTTTGTGATTCTGCACCCGGTGCTCTATGACATCTTACATTTGCTCCAAACCCTGTCAGAGCTCTGACATTTTGTCTTCTCACGCTGTGATTCTGTCTCTGATCTCTGCACCCTTTCCATTCCCAAAAGGTTAACTGTCAAAGTGTCTGGCCAGGCGTTTCTGGGTCCTTCCAGCTGGGGAATGTGAAGTATTTCCCTTGGGGCAGGAGGGCTTAATGAGTTGCAGGTGTGGGGAAAGCCCGCTTAGGTCTGAGGTTCCCCCCAGGAAGAGTGAAGGCAGCTGGTTTTGAGTGCCTCCAGATCCCCCGAGAATGGGGATCTGGCGTTGGGCTGAGGGGAATTCGCAGCTTTAGAACTCACGCCAGCCCTCCGAACAATGGAAAGATTAGTACCGAACCTGGATTTTAGCCCTGAGAGATGATTCAGTGCAGCCCTATATCTCCCATTTAACAGGTGAGGAAACTGAGGCCCAGATGACTTGGCTGGGGTCTCGCAGCAGGCGATTCACTCTCACCTCAGTTGGAGAGGAAGAGAGTCACTCCCGCCCGATGCCCGCAGGCACGGCAGGCACTGAGGGATTTCAGGTAGTCAGACAATTAGAGCTGTCCAGCAATTGTAGGTAGCAGAAGTCTCCATCAAGGGAGGTTTATAGGCTCACAAACTGTTAGAGCATAAAGGGCCCTTTAAAATGTACCCCCTCGTTTTATGGGTGAGGCAAGAACCAGCAATTATTGTTCACCTTCCCTGTGCCAGGGATTGTGCTGCGTGCTAGGGAGAGCGATTGCTGGCCAAGGTCGTGTGGCGAGCTAAGGTCTGGGCTCTTTGTGCTCCAGTAGGGGCTGTTGTCAGGTATGTTAAGGCGGGGTTCTCATTGAGGTGTCCATCAGCCTCACTGCTCTTTACATCCCCTTCCAGCCTCCCAGGTCCTTATTCAGCTTTGCTTTCAGCAACAATAATGAGAATAATAATAATGATCCATTTGTAAAGTGTTTTGAGTTTATAAAGCACTTTCATCATAAGTGCTAGGTCATACAGTGGATAGAGGGCAGGTCTTAAGTCAGGAAGACTCATCTTCCTGAGTTCAAATCCAGCCTCGAACACTTACCAGCTGTTTGACCCTGGGCAACTCACTTAACCTGTTTGCCTCATCTGTAAAATGAGCTGGAGGAGGAAATGGCAGACCACTCTAGTATCTCTGCCAAAAAAACCCAACTCCAAATGGGGTCACAGAGTCAGATGTGACTGAACAATGACAAACCACTTTATGAACTCGGGTATCTAGGGCTTGACTTGTTCCTTGCCTGTCTCTGGGCCTCTCACTTCTCCTCTGTCCTGTTTTTGACTTGAGGTAAGACCTTCTGGCCTCTTTCCTTTGGACCTTGAAGTGCCAGACTTGGGAGAAGACCAGGGAACACAGCAATCTCTAGCAGTCTTCCCTGGAGATTCAGGCCCATGTTTCTTGGCCTCAGTCACGATTCCTATGATCCTGAATCTGAGCCCCATGGTAGACTCCTGAAGCCTCTGCCATTTCTGTGGGTCCCTAAGCCCTTAGTCATTGGCTAGCCCAGTTTTTAATCTGACCCTGCAGGCGTCGACTACCCTGGAATCACAGAGAAGTCAAGCCCTCAGATTCGAATGAAAACATGGGATAGCAGAGGAGACCTTCGAGAGGCAGTGTGACCGATGAGAGAGGGTGGTGATTTTAGAGTCAGGAGCTGGGTTCAATTCCAGGCTTGGCCACTTGTTACCCGTATGACCCAGAGCTGGCGACTCTGACCCTAAGTATTGGTTTAAATGGCCTCCGAGGTCCCTTCCAACTCCAAACCAGTGCTGCCACCCTTGGCCCATGGGCTGATGCAGAAAATTGAAAGGCCCCAAATTCATAGTCATTAATTCTGGTTTTGGAAGTGCAGCTCTGAAATAGATGAACAGCTCCTAATGGATAGAGACCGTCAGCAGTGGGCTGGGGGTTGGGATTCCATCAACCTCTACCCAATAAAGAAGCCCCATTACAAGATACCTGACAAGTGGCCCCCATCCCTTGCCTCCAGACTTCCACTGCCTCCCAAGAAGGCTCATTCTAACTTTGGCTGGCTTGTATTACTCCTGGTCAGGACAATCAAAGGACAGCCTTCTGAATACCTGATGGCGGCTCTAGTGGTCTCCATCTTCCATAACCTCCACCCTCTCCCCAGCCCTTTAAAAAACTGAATATCAAACATGGAAGAAAACTTAGGGATCGTGAAGTAGAACCCATAACCCCCTTGTCTTACAGAAGGGGAAACAGAGTCCCATAGGAAAGGAGTGATAGACTAGCAAGTGGCAGAGAAGGAGCTTGGACCCAAGTGTTCTGACTCAAGTGCGTTCTTCCCGTTGTTCCTTTGGCAAACATCCCATTTACCTCTTGGCTCCTAAGTGACCAGCTGGCATCTTTAAGATCAGCGGGGATGGGGCGCAGAGGAGGGGTACTTGGGGTTAGGGCTGGGTGAGAGTGTGAGGAGTTTGAGAGAAAGGAAAGTACTGAGAGGCCTCAAGTCTGACCCCCTAATCTTACAAATAAGGAAACTAAGGCTCCAAGAGGTGATGTTATTTCTACAGGTCTACGCTGGTGGCGAATATCAGCCAATATAAGAGATAAACACAGAATAAGTGCCCAAGGCAGGATGGGATTCATTGGTCAATATGAAAGGCGTGGGTGCTCAGAGGAGGGGGAGAGGAGAGAGAGAGAGAGAGAGAGAGAGAGAGAGAGAGAGAGAGAGAGAGAGAGAGATCTCTGGGGTGATCAGGGAGGACTTCCTGGAGGAAGTGGTGCTATGCTGGGCAATGAGGATGGGAAGGATTTGGAGGCAGGAAGGGGAACAGGAAAGTTTCATCAAAGGCTCAAAGGTGGGAGATGGGATGGGCTGTGTTGGGCACATGAGGAGATCAACTGAGCTAGAGATGAGGTGTTCTCTGGAGAGGGAGAGAGGGTCTGGTATGCAAAGGACTTTAATGGAGAGGTCTCTTCACCTGCTCAGGGGTGTGTGTGTGTGTGTGTGTGTGTGTGTGTGTGTGTGTGTGTGTGTGACAGACAGAGATAGAGAAAGAGATGGAGAGAGACAGAGACAGACAGAGAGAGGCAGACAGACATTCAGAGACAAAGAGGCAGACCGAGAAAGAGAGAGACAGACAGAGAGAGACAGATAGGCAGAGACAGCGAGAGACAAAGACAGAGACAGTCTGGCCAAGCTGCTGCTTTGTCCATGCCCAAGACAGACCATAGCTGTGTCTCCATGCTGCCCCCTGGTGGGGTCTTTCTCAATCGGCTTGAGCCTCATTTCTTCCCCTCCAGCTTCTTGCAGATGATGCTGGGGGACACTGGGAGAAAGTGAAGGGGACAGACGTAGGTTGAGAGGGAAGGGGAAGGGCAGCACTACTGGGAGGTCCTCACTGTGGCATTAGCACACTTGACATAGAGAAGCACAACCCGATCTGTTCTCACCAAGACATCAAGGGATATTGTTTAATCAATCAACATTCATCAGATGCCTACTGCATACCAGCACTGTGCTGGACAACTCACTACCTGTTTGACCTTGAATAAGTCACTTTTTTGAGCTTCATTTTTCTCAGCTGTGAATGAGGAGGCTGGGCAAAATGACTTCTAAGGTCCCTTCCAATTCTAATAATCAGTCAACAAGCATTTATTAAGCACCTTCGGTTTGCCAGGCACTGTGCTAGGCACTGGGAAACCAAAGACAAAATGAAAAGAGTTTCTGCCTCAAGAAGCTCACAACCTACTAAGGGAAAGGCCACAATATGGTACATACACATATAATTATATATGTGTCAATACTTTTAAACAGCATGAATGACATTACTGAACTCTGAGTCTATGATTTTGTGAAGACCAGATTTCTCTGGAGCCCTGAGTATTCTAACAGCAAGGAGCTGTTGAAAGAAACAGGGACATTTAGCCTGAAGAGAAAAGGCTCAGAGGGTTCAGGAAGAGGGCTCCAACTCATTCTGCTTGGCTCCAGGAAGTAGAATCAGGAGGAGTGCAAGAAAAAGACAAATAGAGTTTTTTAAATTAATTTATTTATTTTGATTCATCAACAATCACTTTTGAGTTTAAAATTTTTCTTCCCCTTGCTCCCCACCACCCTCCCCAAGATGGTGCACAATCTGATATAGGCTATACATACACATTCCTATTAAACATATTTTGACATTAGTGATGTTGTAAGTAAGAATTAGAAACAATAGGAGGAACCACCAGAAAGAGGAAACAAAACACAACAGAAGAAAAAAAATAGCAAATAGTATGCTTCGATATGCAGTCAAACTCCATAGTTCTTTCTTTGGATGTGGATAGCATTTTCCATCACGAAGCCTTTGGAGATGTCTTAGTGTTGCTGGGAAGGGTTAAATTTATCAATATTAGTCATCACACAACATGGCTGTTACTGTGTACAATGTTCTCTTGGTTCTGCTCACTTCACTCAGCACCAGACCACACCAGTCTTTCCAGGTTTTTCTGAAGTCAGCCTGTTCATCATTTCTTATAGCACAATAGTATTCCATTACATTCATATACCACAACTTGCTCAGCCATTCCCCAATTGAGGGGCATCCTCTCAATTTCCAATTCTTTGCCACCACAAAAAACAAATAGAGTTTTGATATCAGAAAAAATCTTTCTCCTAATTCGAGTTGTCCCAAAGTGGAATGGGCAGCCCTGAAAAGTAGTGAGCTCTCCATTACTGGAGGTGTTCCAGTAAAGGCTGGATGACCACTTGTCAGGAATGTTACAGAGGGGATTCTTGCTCAGATCCAGGTTGGAGTCAATGCCCCTGAGGTCCCTTCC